TTCTTTCTTTCTCTCTCTCTCTCTCTCTCTCTCTCTCTCTCTCTCTCTGCATCCATCCATCCATCCATCCATCCATCCATCCATCCATCCATCCATCTTCTGGATCCTGTTCTTTTCTTCTTATAAAGATCCGGTGGGATAAAACAATTTAAAAGATCCTGTAAGATAAAACAATCTACTTACAAAGATCCAGTGGGATAAAATAAATTAGAGGGATCTCCAGCCAGTGAAGAAAAGAGCATGGTTACTTCACTTGCAACAGTAAGAACAATCAGGAGAAGGAAATGTTGGTAACAATTCACCAACGTATTCTTGGGCATCACCAGATGTGGCTTCAGAGCTGCACAGGAAGTGTGCTGAGTCCCTCCTGATCGTTCAGCAGCATCATAGGGCTCCTTCCATCAGACCAAACCCCCATTTCCACTTGGCCACATGTCCATTTAGCCCAGCACTTCTCCAGAAGGTTGTTTTCACCCCAGACCTACCAAGAGATGTTTACCTTCAGCCTAGAAATATCTTCCCACAGAACATCTTTGCTACCCTTGAGCAAAGGAGTAGGGGGGAAATTTGGGACAAGACCAAATTTAGATTCAGTAAGAGCTCTACCTTCAGCTCTCAAAATCCATAAACTAGGTTCATTTCCATTTTGTTTATTATTATTATTTTAACAGCATCTGCCTGACAAAGAAGAGCTCAGCTAGGAACAAGGCAACTTCTACCTTCCTAAATCTGAGGAAGCTGGAGCCTACTAAAAATGGAACAAATGTACACACACACACACACCACAGCAAAGAGATGTCAATTTTGCAGAACATTTCACCTCTGTGTTGCCCAGTCCTTTTCCCCAGAACAGGTGAATGACTCCGAACGGGAAAAACAGGTTCTAAGAGATCTACCAAGACTTTTCAACTTGCTTCTATGGCTTCTACAGGAAGCATCCAGCTTATTCCTCTGGAAAATTACTGACCCCTAAATACAAAAATCAGCTTCCACTAAAGGCTCTCTCTATCTAACCTTCTGTTCAGGAAAGGCCTGTGACAGATTTCCAGAAATATTTCCAAAAGGGATCACACGGGCTTCCTGTAAACAAGAAATTAAATACACCAGAAGGCTGCCAAAGGCTGATGTGACCTTTCCCATTCATTACCTCTTCAAGCATCAGAGCCATAAGTCAATGGTAGCCCATGCACTTTGCAAGGAGAAAGACGCACGAACAATTCCTGACCCTAAAAGATTCTGCCCTTACAGACACACAGGATGGATTCACACATTTAACCCAGTTATGGAATCAACCCAATTTCTTTAGTTGCATAACACATTGAACCATAAATAAACTAATCAAAAGCGCTGTGACTGCAAAACCCCTGAGTCCCCAAGGAAACAAACTGCAGCTGCTGGGTTTGTAACCAACCTGGTTAGGCATGCTGTGTGAACTCAGCAACACACATACACATATCACCAGTTAAAAGATTCAGGTGATAAGTGATGTGAAAAATTACTTTGGGGTGGGGGGGTTGGAGCAATATTGCCAGTCCTGGATCACACTGCTAAAAAATCTGACTTGGAAGGGCTTAATTTCCTGTTCTTTTTATCTTCCCAATCTGGTGAAAATATATGGTCACCTGCCATGTAAATGTTAATAACATAAGCCGTAGCTGGAAGCTGTTAGGCAGTTGATGAAAACAGCCTTTCCCAACCTGACACCCTCCAGATGTGCTGTGATAGCAACTCCCAGAATTCCAAGCTATGGTGATGGGGAATGTTGACAACTGCTGTTCCAACACATCTGGAGATGGCCAGATTGGAGAAGGTGGGATTAGAGAGTGCATTAGCAGAGAGACTGGGAATTTGTGATTCTCCAGAAGCTGATGAATCCCCAGTAATCTTTGCCACCAGCAATGCAAGCTGAGGCTGTTGGGAGTTGCAATTCAGTATCCTCGAGCATACACAGGACTCCCACTCAAAGATAACTCAGTCCTGGAATAATGCCCTGCTTATAAGTTGGGGGTGAGTGGGTTGTTTTTTCTTCTTTTCTCTTTTCTCCTCTTTTTTCCTTCCTTCCTTCCTTCCTTCCTTCCTTCCTTCCTTCCTTCCTTCCTT